ATATTTTAACTCATGGGGAGAGAGTGGTGGAAAAATTTTATATGGCTGATCATAGGATTTGACCTGAGTAAGGTGGCAAATAATGCCAGCATAGGTGTGATGCACTAGGCGAAGAGGGAGGAATTAAGGAGACAATGGTCACATTGGTACCTGTTCAGTACATGTAAGTGAAAAGGAAAGATGGAAGAATCAAAAGCTATGGTCAGAACATAGAATTTCATAGTCCAGGGTTTTGAAGCAATGGGGTGAAAGAAGAGGTTACTAGAACTAACAAAGTTAAGAAACTCTGACAGATTCAAATATTAGAAGAATCATTAAAGTATATTTACTTCCATGAAGATGGTAGTAGAGGATCCAGGAGAAAGGAAGAATGTGAGCCAGGAAATTATTGACAAAGGTGGGAAAGTATCCTGGCAGTTGGTAGACGACAGAAATGAGAGTGGGAAAAGGGTCACTAGTTGTACAATCTTGAGCAAATCACTTAACCTTTCTGTTTCACACCTGTAAAATGGGGATAATAATGTCTGCCTTGCTTACCTCATGAGACTGAGTCAAAGATCAAATGAGATAATGTATGTGAAAGCACTTTTAAAAATCATAAAGACAGTCTATAAAAGTGCAAGGTACTTATTACTGTTAATAATATTAGGTATTATTATTTTTGTTGACAATATTACATTAGGTCAATTCATATACCATTTATTTATGATCAATTTTGTTCCATGAATGTTTATTTGCCTAGGATACATGGCTTAGAATTAAATTAATATCACGTATGTTTTATTTAATTTAGACTCAAGAAATACTCAGTCATAGACTATTTAAAGAGGGTATTACAATGAATAATCACAATAGTTCCCCTCGGTCTCTCTCAACTTATGATTAAAGCATTTCCAATGATACCCTCCCACCCATTATTTTTAGTTAATATTCTTTTAGTGAATCCTTTATTACATCAGTTCACATGATACTTGATGACACATAGTAGCCTCATGTCCTTTATCCTCTCCAAAGCAATTTACCAATATTCCGTTAATTAATACTCGCATGCCTTTATGAACCAAGCATTGTTTCTTCAACAAGCTGCTTTTTGTTTTTAGCTTATAATCCTACCCTAACTTATTTGAGGGAAGGGGAAAATCAGACCAGTAATTTTACTAGTGTAGACAACTCCATCTACCAATACAGATCAACATCTACTCTGAACCCTGTCATTTTGGAGAGTTGCCTGGGGCACAGAGAGATTAAATGACTTTCCTAGGGTCACACAGCCAGCATGTGTCAGAGTTAGAACTTGAACCTGGGTCTTCCTAAATTGGAGATTTGTTCTCTATCCACTGTACTACCTACCTCTCATAACACCATCCCCCAGCCAACACCAACACCAAGTATTATTATCACTATATAAAAAATATATTTTAATTCCCAGAATTACATGGATTCAAACAAGAAAAAGTTAATTACCCTTTAATAATTTTTGTCCTTAAAATCAGGAAGTTATAGAATAGTCTGAGATTATTATCTACATCTGGGCTATAGAACGGTCTGAGACAGTTATACTGGGGAGGTGGAGGGGGGAAGTAGCTAGGACAAGTTCTAGGTATGTGTGTGGAGGGGAGGAGATATGAGTAGAAAAAGTTATTCCTGAGTGCACGATCTTCTTTTTCAATTCCCTTTCTCCAAGAAACCAGTGTTTCAATGCCACTTTCTTGGTAGCCAAGGGTCATCTCTTCTGTTTCTCTCACCCCCAAAGAATTGAGACATCCAACCTCTGTCTTTTTATCCTGGTATAAAAATTCATACTGAAGACTTTTCTTGATGTCATGCTTCAAAAAAGCTTTCCTATCCAGTACCATTCCTTCAAGGTTTCCCTTTCAAAGACGATGAATCAACTTGGTAACATAAATCATTAGCATCAACATAATGTAATCTAACAAGCCTTGGATTTGAAATCTTTGATACTGAACTCAAATCCTCACTCTACTATTTACTCTTAGTATGACCGCAAGTAAGTCATTCAGTGCCTCTAAGCCTCACTTTACTCAACTGTAAAATGAAGAAGTAAAGGTCTCTTCTAACTCTCAATCCCATGATTCATCATCAAAGGTAAGCTATGTTACCCTTCTAAGATAACATGTGAACATAGAGAGTTGAAGGGTTCTTGGGGGCCAACTAGTCCAATGCTCTCATTTTGCAGATGAAAAAACTGAAGCCAGGACAAAATTACTTTGGATCTAAAGCATATCTAGAAACTGAACTCTGAATTAGGATGTTCATAAAGGCAAATCTCACTAAAATAATGGTATCTAGAAAAAAATAACAATAGCTAGTGTAGAGCTTTAACATTTGTGGAGCTTTAACATTTGTGGAGCACTTCAAAAATAGTATCTCATTTGATCCTCACAACAATCCTGGAAGGTAGATGCTATTATTATCCTTACTTGACAGATGAGGAAACTGAGGCAGGCAGATGTTAAGTGACTTGCTTAGGGGTTACATCTCTACGAAGAACTTAGATTTGACCTCAGGCCTTCCTGATTCCAAGTATAGCACTCTATCCACTGTGCTACCTAGCTGCCTCACTAACAAAATTAGCTCAGGTTAGAACACTTATGAAGTAGGAGTTGCTTTATGCCTTACTATGTATGTGAGAAATATAACTAGATCTTCAGCCTAGACAAAACCATACAGTAATAGGGTTCTGTACATTGAGAGTTTATTAGCCGTGACAAAAGAGCATCTTAAAGTGTTAAATTTATTTCTTCTACCAATACTAATTTTAATTTAATGGTTCTTGGCATCAGAACAAATACGGCTTGACTTCTCTTCATGTTGTTGAGAGAAGTGTTGAAAATCCAAAGCCAAGAAATTCTTTCTCCAGAGCACTTCCTTTGCCCCCTCCTCTTGAACTGTTTGTTCATCAACACTAGTATTCTATTCTTGCAAGCATACTGGAGAAACATCAATTCCTCCACTAATTTTTGAAGTAATTGGCTTGATATATTCTGATGGGAGTCATTAGACCAGTTGACAGTCAGATTAACAGCTATTTGCCAACAGTCCTCTTAATAGGATCTCTTTTTACCAGCATCTCACCTTTCCTACTCTTTCATAGTTCGTAATACCTGTTTTAGAGTCAAAGATGTGAATTCAAGTCCCACTGCCTCCCCAATATGTTACTGGTAGTGATTCCTCTATAGGAAAAAAAAAAAAACTTCTGGAAAAATGGGTTTGATGGCTGTTATCACATTTAGTCAGTAACAGACAATCCCAACTACCACAATTTTCCTTGCCAAAAAAAAAAAGAAAGAAAGAAAGAAGAAAGGAATTGAAAGCAATTTTCAACAAACGGACAAATACAAGTCAATTTTGCAGTAAAAATCAATAAGGTTAATCCTGGTTGTCCATGAAGATCAATAAAATAAAGATGGGTCATTTTTGACTAACGTAATTTTCAGCTATTTAAAAAACAATGAGACCAAGATAGTCAATATTCTCTGACATTTCACACCAAGGTATCATGACTTCTAGGTTGTTTGGTGAACCCTGGGCATCCTCCAGCACTACCTAGAATTATATAATCCATCCTATCTGACATAAGCCGCCAAGTGAGCAAAATATGGAAGAGAAGAGGACATGTCAATAGAAGAGGAGCTATAGAGTAGTCAAATACAGGTGGAAAAGAGAACTTCTGGGGCAATACGAGAAGGATCCAGAATGAGTGGTACTATGGGTCAGGGATCTAAACAAGGTTATTGCATTTAGACATCTAATTTTTGGCATGAAATTGTGTAGTTGTAATGTAGAAAGATAGAGAAAGGCTTATGGAAAGCCAGAAAGGTGGAATGTGATGGGAATAATACAATAAAGTTCCCAGAACCTGCAATTGTTTAGATATAATAATTCCCTTCTCCAAGGAGTTCATTTGATTAAATTCAGATAATATATAGTCTTTGAGAGATAAAGAGAAGAATATAGCTGATAACTTGTAAACGATTAACTTTCCTTCCAATTTGACTTGAAGCAATATAGAAATTAGGATTTGTAAAAGAAATATTAATGTAAATTACTTTGAATAATGAGTCATCTATCTCCTTCTGGGAAATTTCTAGAGTCATCCTTTTGATCAATATAAAGACAATTTAAAGGGGGGAAAGGAGCAAATAACATACCCCCTTCTGAGAATGGAGTAATAAGTCTACTTGTTCTTTTATCTCAAGGTTTGCCCCAGTATTTTGCATGCAGTAGATGCTTCCTAAGTGTTTGTTTAATTAAATTGAATTTTCCAGACCTTTTCTTTTTCCTATTTTGCAAACTAAGTTAAACTAAGTCAGGATGAATTAATGAGCTCATTCCTCTGAGATCTAGTACATTGCTTTTAACTCCACTGAATGGCAGTTTAATCAGTAACCCCTGGGTGCCCATACCAAGGAGGTCATAATAAATGCACACTGATCAGAGCAAATGGAATCAGAAACCACTTATTGGCTATGAAGAGCACCTCATAAGTGCAACAGCTCCCCTTTGATTCTGATTTCAAATAAGCACCTTGTTGCTCTCCCAATTCACTTGATAGTCTCTTCCTACAGCCCCCAAACATATACATATTTTTAACATTTCTTTTTGCAATAATTAGTCATCCCAGTATTTGCTGAGAAATCAACAGATTCTCTAAACCAGAGAACTCCCAGAAGGGCCCCCCAAAATCTGTGAGTACTACAACTAGAAGACCTATGATATAGGTAAGAGAAAAAGAAAAGGGGGAAAAGGAGAAAAAATGGTATTTGAGAGTAAGTGGAAGAGGACAGAAAAAGGAAAGAAAGAAAAAAGGTAAAAAAATTTTAGAGATGTGTATGATGGGGAATGAATGGTAGAGGATCAGTGTCACTGTTACACAGTGACCCATCTTATAGACAGTCAACCCTTACTCTAAAGTCTAAACCAACCCTTTCCTTTCTCCTCAGAGAATACACAACAGCAACTCCTTACATACAGGTTACCTGAATGAGTTCGTCCAGCTCAGTTGCATTGACACAAGAGTGTTGAGATATGAATGTCTGCTTCTGAATCACAATGGTGGTCCTCCGTGAAATCTCATGAGGTTGCTCCAGAGCTTTGAACACAGTGGCTCCAATGATCAGATAGACAACTACCACCAGGAAAATCGTGGAGACCGTCTTCCATTTCATAACATTAATAGTTGTGTCACTCTCCACTCGGGAAGAAAGTACTGTGGGCTTTGTAGAAAAGGAGAGCCTCGGTTTGGAGTTCTGAGTGGCAGATTTAGGATCCAGCAAGTCAGGTGCCGCCACTAGTAACAACAGAGAAGGAGCATTAAATTGGAGTTGGTTTAGGGTGTTCTGGTTGGGTGAGTTTTGTTTTTTTTTTGAATGGGGCCAGCAAAACTTATTTCAACCATCCTTGCTTTCCTGGTAGCAGGTAGCTGAGCTCTAATATTCAGACCAGATATCACCTCCTAGAATCTCAGATCCAGTAGCCTATATACGGGTACCTGCCCAGAAAAAGGGTTGGGATCTTTATTCTCATGATTTCATGTGGTATTGAGAGAAGAAAGAAGAGGTGGACCTGGAAACTTGAACAAAGATTAGAATTTGCAAAGAATTGCCTTTTAAAATTCCAAATTCATAGTCTTTTGCTATAGCAAGCTATTTTTTTATAGCCATCTTCTGTGCTAGACAATAAATGGGGTTTTGTTTGAGTCCTATATACTTGAAATGCATTTAAAAAAAAAAAACCGCTCACAGCCCCTGTTCTCAAGCAGCTTACAATCAGAACAGTCAGAACAATATAAGAAACAAATTGTTATTTTGCAGTTTAAAGTAAGGATTATTTTATTCCTTAAGATACCAACATTTTTGCACATAGTAAATCAGCAGTATTTATGTCACTGAACCTTCTTTGCATCATGTAAGTTCTTTTTCCTAGTGCCCAATGGGACCTCTTTCTTTCATTCTTTTAAATTGTGGTATGTTCAAAAAAAGAAAACTCATTGCTACTTACAGAAACACAATCCTAGGTACAACTCACAAGTATTTGAATAATGATCGATCATCCAGAAAAAGAAAATTTAAACTTTGTCTCCTACCCCTGTACTCTTGTACCCTCCATGATCTGGAAAAAGATAATTGCTCCATTAGGGTATATTTATATGTCCTCTTACAAATTCTCATACACTCTGCTGTAACTATGAAGCCATTTATTATTCATCTCAGTTATTCAAAAATATCATTAATGGACTCCCTTTTAGAAAATAAAAGAGATACCAGAATTCTGCCATGTTGGGAGAGGGGAAGAAGGGAATCAATCATCTACTGAAGGACGGTTGATTATATCTATCTCAACAAACCAGTGGAATGGCAATATCCCACTGAAAGTTTTAACCAAAATACTTCTGACTTATGACCTTACAAGCATAGTACCTTGCATACAATAGCCACTTAATAAATGTTTGTTGATTGTTAGATGGGAATGGATTAGAAGTATCTACATGAGCCCAAACAGAAAAGACTGTAGTATCCAGTTCCCTAAGTATATAGTCACAGAATGAATTAATATACTTCATATTTCAATACTTCAGTAAATGAATTTACTATGTTGTGCATTACAGATACATTGATTAATGTTATAATGCAAGATACACATTAGGTAGTCATGTGAGAAATTCAAAGACAACTGAAAATTTAAGAATACACATGTAGTAAAGAGTGAAGTCAAGCTGTCATATTTCACATGTCTAATGTCCTCTCCCAGACTATCCTCTGTGAGTTAAACCATACAGCTACCAATCACAATTTCATTTCACAAAATAAATCTACAGTAGCACTTAGGCAAGAAGCTTTGTACACAAAGCTATTTAAAGCTCTGGGCTTCAGCACAGCTGTAATGTGGTGGGGGATGAAAAAAAGGGTCTCTTCATTGAGTAGAACTCATACCCCTTTTTCATTTTTCTCCAAAAAAAGTGAGTTCACAGCTGGAAGCCAATATAGCATGTTTCTTTCCCTTACTAAAAAAAAATTAAAAAGGAAGTGTTCTGAGGACACCTCACTATGTATCCAGACAGATAAATATCTACATGGATATGTATGTGTTTATCTTCCCCCCCCCAAGTATATTCAGCTGCACTAAATAATGCCAGTGATTAAAACCATTATTATTACTTTTTTGAAAGATAATTAATTATGCAATTAAATATAACATGAATGTATTTAACCTTATATAAGTAAGAAAATTCAAAGCTCAGACTTCCTAAGTGAGGATTCTTTTCAGAGTCACTGTCCTCAAGGAAAAACAAAATAATCATGATAAGGTTTGATTAGATAGATAGACAGACAGACAGACAAGCTCTTTTGGCATATCTGGGTGATAAATTACAATACTAATGAGAAATAATACAAACTTAAGCAATCACTGAGCAGAACTGAATAGACTTGAACAGTCTTTATGCTCCCACACTGCACTTATCCTTTGAAAGAAATCTCAGAGCTCCCCTAAATCCCATCAACACACAGACACAGACAATCCCTTAAATCAGTGGTTTCTAACCTGAAGAATCTGGGAACCTTTGAAAATTATTGCTTCTCAAAAGATAATCCCACCTTTCCTTATGCACTTATAACAGTCACTCAATTTACTATTGGAAGAAGTCCAAATTTATCTTTTTAAAATTCAAAGAAATCTACTTCTCCCAAGCAATTAAAACTTTTTCAATTACCAAAAACAAATGAGATGTCTATTCTAATAACTGAGTATATCGAAATGTTGGTGAAATCTCAGATAAAAACCAAAAATAATCTTTTTTTCCCAAGTCAAACATGGGAAACCAGTGAGTTTGTAACTTTGCTTGGTAAAAGCCCAAAGGAAGCTACTCAGAGAAAAGAAATAGAGGTTGTATCTTTCCCTACTCTCCTTCGCTCAGCAAAGAGGGCTCCTAAACTAATGACAGGCCATTCTTAAAGCAGATGCTCCCCATCCTCACCCATTTACTTATTCTTCAAACAGACTCTTCGGGAGTTCTGACAGGAGACCTGATGCTGGCAGAAGCCAGACTTCAGCACCACTTATTCTCTTCACACAGCTAGCAACAAGTGTGGACAAACACCGCATAATATAACCCTACACAATCCTAACCTCCCCCTCCCCCTCATAGACCTCTCCTTCTATTCCCCTTCCCCCGCCCCCCGCATCACAAATCTTTCAAAATATTCAAAACAAAAACTCAACGCAGATGCAAAAGTCCGGGATGCTAAAGGGGTGAGGGGAGTAAAAAAGAGGGGAAAGAAGGAGGGGTTAGGTTAGGATAGGAAAAATAAAAGTGGGTTTGTCCCTAAATGATCTGCTCGCCAAGCTAGACCCAAGGTGTTGACCTTAAACGGGGTCTGAATGGACTACACACAGCTTGGAGAAAGCCAAGCGACTGTCCTCTAGGACGAAGCGGCTAGGGAGACCAGAGGGATGACGCCTGGGAACAAGAGATTTACCTCCTGCACTGGAGCCGGCTGTCTCCTGCGAGGCACTAGAAAGCATGAGGCATGCATGCAGCATTCAACACTGGGGAAGGTGTTGGGGAGGGGGGGATAGGCTTGAGGGGAGGGGGCCTCGAAGCTTTTAAAAAACACGTCAAGGTACTCACTTCTTATTCACAGACTGGCTGCGCGCTCCGAGTTTCAGGGGCAGGCATTTTCCCAGTCTTTGTTTTACTGAGGGGGGAGGCAGGAGGGAGCGGGGGAGGGGGAAATAGACTTGAATCGAAAAGGTGGGGGGAGGGCGGGGGGAGAAAGGACTGTTGGATAGCTAGCCGCAAAGAGGACGAGGCGAGAAGTTGGGTCCTCCTGCCCCTATCCTCCCTCCAAGGCCCCCCAGGCCCAGGGGGAGCAAGGCGCTGCTCGGGAGCTCTAGAGCTGCGGCTGTCACAGGGTGGTGAGCAAGAGGGAGCTGGAATGGGGCTGCTGCCACCGCCACCGCCCGGGGGGCTCCCAGGCTCTCCCTCGCCTCCTCGCCTCCTCGCCCCGTCACCAGGAGCCTTTGTGTCAATCGGTCCTGTCTGCGCGTCTGTCCGCCCTGCTGCCTTTGTGTGAGAATCTCGCTCGGTCCCTCTTTGCATGTCTTTGTGTGTCTCCTCTCCCAAGTCTCCCCCACACACACACCCCCAATGCGTGAGCGCGAGTGTATAAGCGTGTGTATGTGTGTATCTGTGTGTGTGTATGTGTGTGTGACACAGTCACCGTGTGGCCTCTGCCTGTTTCCCCTCCTCTCCCTTCTCTTTGCTTGTCTCCCTCCCTTTCTCCCCCTCCACCGCCCCTCCATAGCCTGTCTCCTTTCCCTCCTTTCAATCTTCCCTCCTACTTGTCTCCTCCTTCCTCCCTGCCTTTGCTCTTCGCTTGTCAATCCTCCCCCTAATTCCCGACAACCTCCACCATTCTGCACCTTCTGCCTATAGCTTCGTCTCTGATTTGTGCCCTTTTCCCTGGCTGGAAATGGAACTCCGTTGCGCTCAATTGGCTTCTCTTCGTCTCTGTGCCCTGGTCCCTGACCCTGCCACCATTTTCTCTAAAACCAGGTGACACCCACTACTCTCAGGTATATAGTACACTAGTCTCAGTGCCCCACCCAGTCCCCAACCTGGTCCCTGGAATCCACGCACTGGTCCCTCCTAGCTGAAGGAGGGAGACGACGGGATGTGTTGAGTCCTAAAGATCGTTCCACGTGGTCTTCTCTCTCTCTGCGACCTTCCATCCGAGGTTGGCACTCTGCTCTTGCTATAGAGCCTAAGGGTTATTGTGCGGAAAAGAGACCCCAATAGTTGGTCTTTCTCTTTCTTACTTGGTACCGATGTAAGAAAGTCCATCTGTCCTCTTCTCTGCCAAGCTATCATCCCAGCAACAACTGAGGCTTCTTCCTTTATTCCCTGACAGAACTCTGACCAACCCTTGATTTGACAGGATTGGGGAGGTGGGGGTGGAGGGGACGGGGAGAGCAGATGTGTCAAGGACAAAAACACTAAAGAGGGATGCTGAAGGATGAAAGAGGAGAAAGCAGAGTCTTCTACGGAAACTACCAGTTGCCAAGGGTTCGTGGAGGTACACAGTGTACTACTTCAGTGGGGGCAAAAGGGTAGCAGAAGTCGGATGAATGAGATCAGCCCCCTCCACCACTCTAAAGTCCTGGCTTTGGCACCAGGATACTCTAAACTTGTGGCCATAGCCTGCTTAACATTGCAGTTGGAAGAATAGGAGGAGAGGAAAGGGTGTTTAGATTAGAACCTCCTATGCTAACAGACAAATCATTTCACAGTACACAAATGATTTAACAGGAATAGAACCAAAGCTCTCAGAGTAAATTATTTTCCCTTTCCAGGGCTGCAGCATGAATTGCCTGCTGTGTTCCACCCTCCCACCCCCACCAACCACACCAAATTTACCTTCTGTAACTGCAGTAAGTCATGGCACATAGGAGTGCATGTCCTGTAATAAGTAGACCCAGAGACCCTGTGAACCTGGAAGGTGACTTCTGGTGCACAACAGAGCTGCAAGTTACCTTTAAGAAGACTAAGAAATTATGTAGCTACCTTTGTTCTTTTAAAATGTTCAGAGCAGTTTCTGGATCCCTCTTCCCCAGCCTTTTGCCTTTGTGAGTATACTATACTGTCACAGCTCCTGTGTGTGCCCAAAAGTTTTTAACTTTAGCCTCTTCCAACTCCATATCCTTTTCTTCTATTAATGAAAAAGAAAAATCTCAACTTACTAACCATCATTCCAAATTTCCCTTTAGCTTTCTAAGTGAGTCTGAGTGTATTCCTAGTCATGAAATTAATACATATTCTGAACATTATTTTTATTCTCTTCTCACATTGTTCCAGGCTAAATTACTGCAGTTCCTCTCTCACTTTTCTTCCTTTCTCTTTTTTTCTAGTCCCCAACTCATTGGGTTTATTTTTTCCTTCTCTCCTCTGCATTTTGTAAAAATCAACCACATCTTACTCAAGTTGTAGACCTCCAAGTCAGACCAAGGACTGACTAATGCAAAATATGGTGAGAAGTTACTTCATACCATAGCCTCAATAAAATGTTTCCTTTTCCCCCAAAACAGTGTATGGTTGACATTTTCAGCTAGTGGTTCACCACAAGATCCAAATATCTGTTCCTTTTGAAAACTGTCAGTCCTTCCTTGTCTCTATGTATAGCAAACAAACTGCCTCAATTTCACCCTTGCATCACTTCCTGGATTGACCTTGCCTTCCTGAATGTAGGAGGAATATTTAAGAACAAATGTGCTTTGCAAATAGATTTTTTTAAAAATTCATAAAAACTTCTCACAAAAGAATCACAACAAATTAATTTGTGGACTTATCTTTCTTCTCTTGTATACACAAGTTTCTGGGACCAATAAACTATTCTTTACACGGCTATCTTTCATGTTTACCAGCACCATCCCTCAATGTTCCTGCCTATGAGTACCTCCTCTTACATATTCAGAGACCAGTACGATATAATGGGCAGTGTCATCTTGAATCACAAATCCTCAGTCACTCAGTGTTTGAAGCAAGAGCAAAAAAAAAAAAAAGAAGTAGGCTGGTTTGTATATCATTTCATTTGGGGAAAGAAGAAAATGGGATGGTTTATCCTGTTTACATTCATGCCAATGTCATTGGGCAAATAGAAAATCCCACAAGACCATTTTATAAAGGGCCAAGTTGATTCCATGTCTTTTACTAATTCCTTGAGACCCATCCTAACTTCCTTTTTTCTAGGAACATCTACTAATTTGCATAGCATTTAGAATACGGAATTTAGAAATATCACCTAGTAGCAAGATTCAACTGAAGAAATGCCACAATGCTGTTTCCCAGCTTTCACTTAGCTCAAGCAGCAGATCTAAATACCCTGAACTCAGTTTAACATTTATTTTGCTATGCAACCTTGGCCTATTCAAAGTGACATGATAAAAATGGGTATGTCATTGGAATGGTTCTTCGAAATCCTGATTAGACCAGTAACCTAGTTGGAGATAATAGTGTTTGTGTTTGTTCAGGGCCACCAGCAACAAGCGACATCCCCACTTGTTTCTTAACCAAGGTTGTTATTTAGTTGACCCAGTTAATGCTGATTGTTGAAGTCAATCACCCAACTAGAGTATGGGGAGTCTTTATTTATGGGAAACATAGCTAGAAATTTTAGTTGACTAAAAACACAATGTAAGCCAATTGTTGGATATAGTGGTACCCTAAAGCAATCTAATCTTGCAATACCCCAGTGATCTGTAATTTATTTCATCAGCATGAGTACTGCTTCTCCTTCAAGGATTTAGTAGCTTATGTTTAAGAATTGCTGTGGCCAAAAAGTTCATTGCTTTGTGGTCAACCAGGTGATGATCCTCTCTGAAATTAGACAGACCAGTCTTCAAATAAAAGATATGTAGTTAAGCAGAGTCCATACTTGATAGAAACTGATTGAACTTCAGTTCCACCAGCATAACTTTTAAGAGCCCAGGTTTTACTCTATACCAAAAGCCAGTTAGATGGTGAAGTGGATAAAGTTTTGGACTTGGAGCAATGAAGACCTAAGTTCAAATCTAGCATCAGATACTAGCTGTGTGACCCTGGGTAAACAATCTGTATGCCTTAGTTTCCTCATTTGTAAAATGAAGATAATAATTGCCCCTAACCCTATGGTTGTTGTGAGGATCAAAGGAGATATTTGTAAAGTGCTTCGAAAACCTTAAAGAATCATGTAAGTGCATATGCTAGCTATTAGGTTATTAGATATCAGAAAGGACCCTAGGGGAGGAATGAAGTCTCAGGTAACACTAAGAGAAACATGATGTCCAGAAAAAATAAGGCAATAGAAGCATTATATTAAATACTATTCACACTACACCTGGGTTATATATTCAGTTCATGAACTGCATTTTAATATAGGCATTGACCACAACAATAGCTAGCACTTATATAATGCTCTAAAGTTTACAAAGAGCATTACACATATCTCATTTGACAAAGTGGATTGTAACCACAGGTGAGTAAACAAGATTGTGTTTATTGTTGGTCAGTCATTTTTCAGTCATGTCAGACTTTGTGACTGCATTTGGCATTTTCTTGGCAAAGATACTGGAGTGGTTTGCCATTTCTTTCTCCAGCTCACTTCACAGATGCAATGGAATTAAGGGACTTGCCCAGGATCACACAGGTAGTCAGTACCTGAGGTCAGATTTAAATTCAGAAAGATGTCTTTGTAACTCCAGGCCCAGCACTCTATCCACTGTACCACCTAGTAACAATATTACATGAAAAGCTATTAAAGGAACAGGCAGGGAGGAAAGGAGGAATTATGAGAGTCACAGCAGTCATTTTTTCAATATTTGGAGGGATATTGTTTCTATATGGAATTAGTTTTATTTCATATAACTTCTGAGGCAGGGGTGGTATAGCATCTGGGAACATGGAATAGTGATTTAGGGACAAAGGACCTGGGTTTGAATCCTGGACCTGCTCCTTAGTACGTGAGATATGATGAAAGTCACATATGCACTATGATATTCAGTTTTCTCATCTGTAAAATGATA